CGTGGGGACGGGCGGCCACGCTGCGGTGGGGGAGCACGGGGACACGGGGCCACCCTGTGCGTGGGGACACGGGGCCACCCTGGTGCATGGGGACAGCACGGGGACATGGGGCCACCCTGGTGCGTGGGGACACGGGGACACGGGGCCACCCTGGTGTGTGGGGACAGCACGGGAACACGGGGCCACCCTGTGCGTGGGGACACGGGGACGTGGGGACACCCTGCTGTGTGGGGACACGGGGACGTGGGGCCACCCTGCTGTGTGGGGACACGGGGCCACCCTGCTGTGTGGGGACACGGGGACACCCTGATGCGTGGGGACACCCTGATGTGTGGGCACAGCGGCACCCGTGGGGGGGACAGCGGGGGACGGGGAGGGGGTGTGGGCAGGGGGACACGGGTCACTGGGAGGGTTGAAGTGACACTGGGGGTCGAACATGAAGTGACATATGGGGACACTGGGTGAGTGTCCTCCATGGCCCTGGTGACACCAGAGGGGATCAGGGTGACACTGGGAGGGTCAGGGTGGCACTGGGGTCATTGATGGGGGTCAGGGTGGCACTGGGGGTCACCGAGAGGGGATTGGGGTGACACTGGGGTGACTGGGTCAGGGTGACACTGGGGTAACTGAGGGGGAATGAAGGTGACACTGGGGTCATTGGGTCAGGGTGACACTGGGGTCATTGAGGGGGGTCAGGGTGGCACTGGGGGTCACTGGGAGGGGATTGCGGTGACACTGGGGTCATTGAGGGGGGTGAGGGTGGCACTGGGGTCACTGATGGGGGTTTACTGTGACACTGGGAGGGTCAGGGTGACACTGGTGTCACTGGGAGAGGATCAGGGTGACACCGGAGTCACTGGGAGGGGGTGAGGGTGACACTGGGAGGGTCAGGGTGACACTGGGGGTCACTGGGTGACACTGGGGTTCACTGCCTCCCATTCCCCCTGTGCCACCACCTCTTTGCCACCTCACTGCCACCACCCCTGTCCCCACGGTGTCCCCACGGTGTCCCCACGGTGTCCCCTGCAGCTGCACGTGGCCGCTGCCAACGGGTACCGCGCGGCGGCCGAGCTGCTGCTGGAGCACCGCGCCCGCCCCGACGCCCGCGACGCCGACGGCTGGCAGCCCCTGCACGCCGCCGCCTGCTGGGGACAGGTGTGTCACCGCCACCCCCCCTGGGGACACCCCCGTCCCCCGTTTGTCCCTTTTTCCGACGTTTCTGTCCCCTTGCAGGTGCAGCTGGCCGAGCTGCTGGTGGCTCACGGCGCCGACCTCGGCGCCAAGTCGCTGCTGGACGAGACTCCCCTGGGTGGGTTTGGTGGCGTTTTGGTGGCATTTCGGTGGCGCCGCGGTGGCCGTTGGTGACAGGGGTGTTGTCCCAGATGTGTGCGGGGACGAGGAGGTGAGGGCCAAGCTGCTGGAGCTGAAGCACAAGCGGGCGGCCGTGCTGAAATCCCAGGAGAAGCACAAATCCCTGCTCCAGAGGAGAACGTCCAGCGCCGGCAGCCGCGGGTGAGCGGGACGCGTGTGTCACCTCCCCGGCTTGGGGACAGCGCTGGGGGACACCGGGAGGGGACTGGGGTGGCGCCGGGGTCACTGAGAGGGTCAGGGTGATGCTGGGAGGGTCAGGGTGACACTGGGGTCACTGAGAGGGTCAGTGTGACACTGTGGGGCACTGGGAGGATCAGGGTGATGCTGGGAGGGTCAGGGTGACACTGGGGTCACTGAGAGGGTCAGGGTGACACTGAGGTCACTGGGAAGGTCAGGGTGACACGGGTCACTGAGAGGGTCAGGGTGACACTGGGGTCACTGAGAGGGTCAGGATGACAATGGGAGGGTCGGGGTGACACTGGGGTCACTGAGAGGGTCAGGGTGGCACTGTGGGGCACTGGGAGGGCCAGGGTGACACTGGGAGGGTAAAATCCCCAAACCCCATAAATCCTGACCCCTAAAATCCCCCAAATCCTAGAATTCCCAAAATCCCCAAACCCCGTAAATCCTGACCCCTAAAATCCTCCAAACCCTGGAATTCCCAAAATCCCCAAACCCCATAAATCCTGACCCCTGTAATCCCCAAAATCCTGGAATTCCCAAAATCCCAAAACCCCCATAATCCCTGAAATCCCAGAAATCCTGAAACCCTCTAAATCCCTGAAATCCCATAATTCCCAAAACCTCCCAACCCCATAATTCCCAAAATCCCCAAACCCCACAATTCCCCAAAACCCCATAAATTCCCAAACACCCATAACCCCAATATCCCATGAATCCCATAAACCCCCTAACCCTGCAAATCCCCTAAACCCCAAACCCCATAAATCCCCTAAATCCTCGAAATCCCCATGAATCCCAAAAACCCCATAAACCCATAACTCCAAAATCCCACAAATCCCCTAAATCCCCAACCCCCATAAACCCCAAAACCCCATAAAACCCAAATCCCCTAAAACCCAAAACCCCAAACCCTTCAGATCCCCTAAATCCCCTAAACCCCATAACCCCAAAGCCTCTAAATCCCCTAAACCCCAACAATTCCCTAAACCCCCATAAACCCCATGAATTCCAAAAACCTCATAAACCCCAAATCCTCATAAAATCCCTTAACCCCATAAACTCCAAACCCTATAAACCCCAAAACCGCATAAACCCCAAACCCCCCAAAGTCCTGTAAATCTCCTAAATCCCATAAACCTTGAATCCCCATAAACCCCAAAACTGCACAAATCCCCTAAACCCCAAACCCCATAAACCTTGAAAATCCCAACTGAAAAACCCCAACAAACCCCAAATCCTCCAGATCCCCTAAACCCCATAAACCCTGAAATCCCCAAATCCCCCAAAATCCCCTAAACCCCATAAACCCTTAAATCCCCAAATCCCCCAAAATCCCATAAACCCCAAACCCCCATAAACCCTGAAATCCCCTAAATGCCCAAGCGCTCCAGCCGCTACCGCCGGCAGCTGCAGCGCGAGGCCATCGTCTGGGGACACCTCGGGGACAGCGAGGACGACGAGGGACATTGGAGACATTGGGGGATTGGGGACATTGGAGGCATTGGGGATGAGGGACACTGGGGACATTGGGGGCTTTGGGGGATTGGGGACATCAGGGACATCAAGGACATCGTGGACATCAGGGACATCAGGGGGATTGGGGACATTGGGGGGACATTGGGGAATTGGAGGCATTGGGGGATTGGAGACATCAGGGGAAATTGGGGACATCAAGGGGGATTGGGGACATTGGGGACATTGGGGACATCACGGACATTGGGGGACTGGGGATGTTGAGTACATGGGGGACACTGGAGACATTGGGGACATTGGGGTGATTGGGGACATCGGGGGTGAAGGACATCGGGGACACCTCAGGGACAGTGAGGACGAGGACAGGGCCACCCTCAGGGTGCGGCCACCGAGGGCACGGCCACCGCTGCCACCGGCCGGCCACCGTGGGGCTGGGGTGAGGGACAGTGACACTGGGGACAGCGGGGACACTGAGGATTGGAAACAGTGGGGACGCTGGGGAATTGGGGACACTGGACACATTGGGGGATTGGGGACACTGGGGACATCGGGGATACCGGAAACATTGGGGACATCGGGGACATTGGGGACATCAAGGATGACATTGGTGTGAGGGACAGTGGGGACAATGTGACGGTGAGGGACACTGAGGACATTGGGGGTGAGGGACACGGGAGACATCAGGGACCTTGGGGACACCGGGGGCATTGGGGACAATGTGGGGGTGAGGGACACCGGGGACATTGGGGACAATGTGGGGGGGGACATCAGGGTGAGGGACATTGTGGGACATCAGGACATTGGGGGTGAGGGACCTTGGGGACACCGTGGGACCTTGGGGACATTGAGGGGTTGAGGACCTTGGGGACATTGGAGACAATGTGGGGGGACATTGGGGGGGTTGGGGACACTGGGGGGACATCAGGGTGAGGGACACTGGGGACATTGGGGGACATTGGGGGTGAGGGACCCTGGGGACAATGTGGGACCTTGGGGACATTGGGGACATTGGGGTGAGTGACCTTGGGGACATTGGGGACATTGGGGGGACATCGGGGTGAGTGACCCTGGGGACATTGGGGGGGTTGGGGACCTTGAGGACAATGGGGACAGTGTGTGGGGACATCGGGGTGAGGGACCCTGGGGACATCGTGGGACACTGGGGACATCGTGGGACACTGGGGACATCGGAGGTTGGGACCTTGGGGACATTGAGGGGTTGAGGACCTTGGGGACAACGTGGGGTGACACTGGGGACAACCTGGGATGCCAACAGCGGGGAGGACGCTCCTGCTCAGGTGACACCAGGAGGGGACAGCGGTGACACCGGGCGGGGCCAACCCCGCGTGTCCCCACTGTCCCCATTGTCCCCTCCCCCCTTTTTTTGTCCCCTCAGGACCCGTCCCCCGCCGTCCCCTCGGAGCCGTCCCCGCCGTCCCCTCACCCCAACGGCTCGGCGCTGTCCCCGAGGGTGTCCCCGCTGTCCCCTCGCTGTCCCCCCGCCCCCTCGGGTGACAAAAGCCACCCGCACACCTTGGCCGACCTCAAACGTCACCGCGCGGCCGCCAAAACCCCAAAGAACCACCCCAAAAACCACCCCAAAAACCCCGACGGCGCCCTCGGGGACACCGGGGACACCCTCGGGGACACCCTTGGGGACCTTGGTGACATCGGGGACACCCTTGGGGACATTGGTGACACCGGGGACACCCTTGGGGACATGGTGGAGCCGCCGCTGCTGCGGCTGACGGCGCCGGCCCAGGAGGGCCCCGCGGAGAAGCAGCGCTGCTGTCGGGTCATGTGACCAAATTTTGGGGGGGGTTTTTAAATTTTTTTGGGGTCGCCCCAAATCTTTGGGGTTGTCACCCCCCCTCCCCCAAATCCCGTTGTCACTTTGTGTCCCCAAAAATGGAAAATTTTTTTGTCCCCGCCCCCAAAAAAAAAAGGGGGCGAAGGTTGGCGGCAGTTCGGCGTCGTGGTTCTGTTTTTGGGGTTTTTTTGGGGGGAATTTGGGTTTGGGGGGACCCCGAAATGTGGGGAGGGGGAGGGAGACCCCAAAAGGGACATTTTGGGAGGGGGGGGAACCCCAAAATTGCATTGGGGGAGGGGAGGGGCCCCAAATTCGTGTTTGGGGTCCCCAAAATTCGTGTTTGGGGTTTTGGGACCCCCCAAATTTGTGTTTGGGGTTTTGGGATCCCCCAAATTCACATTTGGTGTTTTGGGACCCCCCAAATTTGTGTTTGGGGTTTTGGAACCCCCCAAATTTATGTTTGGGGTTTTGGGACCCCCCAAATTCGTATTTGGGGTTTTGGGATCCCCTAAATCCCACAGGGAAACTTTGGGGACCCCAAATCCACATTTAGGGTTTTGGGGAGCCCCAAATCCATATTTGGGGTTTTGGGGTTCCCCCAAATTCGTATTTGGGGTTTTGGGATCCCCTAAATCCTACAGGGAAGTTTTGGGGATCCCAAATCCCATTGGGAACTTTTGGGGACCCCCAAATCCACATTTGGGGTTTTAGGATCCCCCAAATTCATATTCGGGCTTTCAGGAGCCCTAAATTTTGGGGACCCCAAATCCACATTTGGGGTTTTGGGGAGCCCCAAATCCAGATTTGGGACTTTAGGATCCCCCAAATCCCAGTGGGAACTTTTAGGATCCCCCAAATCCACATTTGGGATTTTAGGACCCCCCAAATCCACATTTGGGATTTTAGGATCCCCCAAATCCCACTGAGACCCTTTAGGATCCCCCAAATCCACATTTGGGGTTTTGGGATCCCCTAAATTCGTATTTGGGGTTTTAGGATCCCCCAAATCCCACTGAGAAATTTTGGGATCCCCCAAATAGACATTTGGGATTTTAGGATCCCCCAAATCCCACTGAGAACTTTTAGGATCCCCCAAATCCACATTTGGGATTTTAGGATCCCCCAAATCCCACTGAGAACTTTTGGGATCCCCCAAATCCACATTTAGGATTTTGGGATCCCCCAAATCCCACTGAGACCCTTTAGGATCCCCCAAATCCACATTTGGGATTTTAGGATCCCCCAAATCCACATTTAGGATTTTGGGATCCCCCAAATCCCACTGAGACCCTTTAGGATCCCCCAAATCCAGATTTGGGACTTTAGGATCCCCCAAATCCACATTTAGGATTTTGGGATCCCCCAAATCCCACTGAGACCGTTTAGGATCCCCCAAATCCACATTTGGGATTTTAGGATCCCCCAAATCCCACTGAGAACTTTTGGGATCCCCCAAAACCACATTTAGGATTTTGGGATCCCCCAAATCCCACTGAGACCGTTTAGGATCCCCCAAATCCACATTTGGGATTTTAGGATCCCCCAAATCCCACTGAGAACTTAGGGGGGTGAGTGGGGGGGATCTTGAGGGGGGGAATTTGGGGGTGCAAATGGGATTTGGGGTGGAAATGGGATTTGGGGGATCCTAAATAGGGAAAATTTAGGGGATCCTAAATGGGATTTGGGGTAGAAATGGGGTTTGGGGGGGATCCTAATTAGGATTTAGGGGATCCTAAATGGGAATTTGGGGGATTCTAATGGGATTTGGGGGATCCTAAATAGGGAAAATTTAGGGGATCCTAAATGGGATTTGGGGTAGAAATGGGGTTTGGGGGGGATCCTAATTAGGATTTAGGGGATCCTAAATGGGAATTTGGGGGATTCTAATGGGATTTGGGGGATCCTAAATAGGGAAAATTTAGGGGATCCTAAATGGGATTTGGGGTAGAAATGGGGTTTGGGGGGGATCCTAATTAGGATTTAGGGGATCCTAAATGGGAATTTGGGGGATTCTAATGGGATTTGGGGGATCCTAAATAGGGAAAATTTAGGGGATCCTAAATGGGATTTGGGGTAGAAATGGGGTTTGGGGGGGATCCTAATTAGGATTTAGGGGATCCTAAATGGGAATTTGGGGGGAAATGGGGTTTGGGGGATCCTAAATGGGATTTGGGGTCCTAAATGGGGGATCCCAAAGGGGGAATTTGGGGGGAAAAGGGATTTGGGGGATCCAATTTGGGGGATCCTAAATAGAAGGATTTAGGGGATCCTAAATGGGGGAATTTTGGGGTGGAAATGGGATTTGGGGTGGAAATGGGATTTGGGGGATCCTAAATACGGGAAATTTAGGGGATCCTAAATGGGATTTGGGGGATCCTAAATGAGATTTGGGGGATCCCACATGGGGGAAATTTTGGGGGAAATGGGATTTGGGGGATCCTAAATGGGAATTTGGGGGATTCTAATGGGATTTGGGGGATCCTAAATAGGGGAAATTTAGGGGATCCTGAATGGGATTTGGGGTAGAAATGGGGTTTGGGGGGGATCCTAAATGGGGGAATTTGGGGGATCCTAAGTGGGGGAAATTTGGGGGGGAAAATGGGATTTGGGGGATCCTAAATGGGGTTTGGGGTCCCAAATGGGGGATCCCAAAAGGGGAATTCGGGGGGAAATGGGATTTGGGGGATCCGTGGGGGAAATTTGGGGGGGAAAATGGGATTTGGGGGATCCTAAATGGGGTTTGGGGTCCCAAATGGGGGATCCCAAAAGGGGAATTCGGGGGGAAATGGGATTTGGGGGATCCCAAATAGGGGAATTTGGGGGGAAAAGGGATTTGGGGGATCCTAAATGGGGGAATTTGGGGGATCCTAAATGGGGGAATTTAGGGGGGAAACGGGATTTAGGGGAGCCTAAATTTAGGGGAATTTGGGGGGGAAATGGGATTTGGGGTTTTCTTGTTATGGGGGATCCTAAATGGAGGAATTTAGGGGGAAATGGGATTTGGGTTTTTCCCACATTTGGGGTTTTCCCCATTTAGGGGATCCCAAATGGGGAAATTGGGGAGGGGGAGGCCGGGTTTGGGATTTTGGGGATCCTAAATAAGGGAATTTGGGGTGGAAATGGGATTTGGGGTTTTGTGATTTTGGGGGATTCAAAAAGGGGAAATTTGGGGGAATCTAAAGAGGATTTGGGAGATCCTAAATTTACGGGAAATGGGATTTGGGGTTTTCCCTTTTTAGGGGATCCTAATTGGGGGAAATTGGGGGGAAATTGGATTTAGGGGATCCTAAATGGGGGAAATTGGGGGGAAATTTGATTTAGGGGATCCTAAATGGGGGAATATGGGGGGAAATTGGATTTAGGGGATCCCAAATGGGGGAATTTGGGGGATCCCAAACACGGGAATTTGGGGGATCCTAAATGGGGTTTAGGGTTTTCCCCTTTTAGGGGATCCCAA